TAATCCTGGAAGAGTTAGTGTTCTGATAGTGCTTTTTAGAGTTTGAGACATGAAGAAAATTGTGTTTGATTCTTTTCACCTAATCAGATGATTTTACCTGAAACCAACATTTTTTAAGGAAAGTGAATTTCTGTTGCACAAATCGAAATGCTTAAGAATACCCAAACTGTGAAGTGTGTATGCATACTTGTGTACGAGTTTGCATGTGTGTGTGTGTGTGTGTGTGTGTGTGCGTACGCGTGTGTGTGCACGTGTGTGCGTGCGTGCATGCTTGTGTGTGTGCTTGCATGTGTGTGTGTGTGTGTATGTTTGCTTTTTGTGGTTCAGGGACCTCCCAGACGTTTTGTCAAGCAGAATCTGGCCAAGAAAAGACTCAGACAGACGGAGAGGTTGTGTTGAAACAATGTGGTCAAGATACCTCCTGGCTTTCTATTCAACACTAATTTTTTTCCTTTGTTTTGTTCTCTCCCTATATAGGAAAATCCATAAAATCCTTTATGGACTCTCTGAAAAGACATCTTCCACGTCTGTAATACGCTACAATCATCTCCAGCTGAGACAAAGAAGGAGAATAATGTTTGTTCACATCAATCGTGTAATCCTACCAATGCTCAAAATGTTATCAGCAGCGATGAATGGGAAATGGACACACAAATAGAAAGGATAGGCCCTCATTCATGCAAGCAGGGCAGGGAGGTTACAAGTGCCAGTGGTCTGCAGCAGGGAGTAGCCTGGCTTTTCCAGCTCTAGTGCAAAACCCAACCCAGATATTTCCTGGTTCTGACACCAGTTTGGCACCAAGATCACTTCTACGTGTGGAGAGAAACAAGAGAAGAATTATTCCAACTGTGTTGAAGTGAAAATAAAATAAAATAAAATACATGTCCTCATGATGCAGAAAAAGAACAATTCCTTGTAAGTCATTAAAAATTCATGTTTGTTAGTGACTTCAGCGTTTTCCTGCATGATTTATGAAATCTTCACTCCTTTTTTCCTTTATAGTTTAGACATTAAAACTACACATTAAACATGATTTTATTTTAAAGCATGTGTCATTACAACATTATTGTACCCTTAATGTGATATTAATGTCATCCTCTGCACTGCCACCAACATCATAAATGGGGGTGACACTGTGGCTTGTGTGCAAGTATACCATCAACACATGTCATATACAATAAAACAGATTTTGAATGTCTGTCCACTGTGACCACCATGCAAGGGATGAATAGATTTACAAATAAAAAAAATATTTTTGTCTCAACAAATGACACATGAGTTACAGTTATGCACTTTAAAACAACACAAGGACCTCTATAACAATTCAGAAAGGTATCTTTATCTCTAAGTGTGTTCATTTTTAACACCAAGCTCGAGAACGAGCCAAGTTGGTTTCCATGACAGAGATCAGGATCCCACACTGCACTGTACCCAGGGGCCTAAACACGTAAGTGTGTGTGTGTTTGTGTGTGTGAAGTCTTGCTTGGAGTTTTGAGGTGAGCATTGCAAAAGATGGAGACTCAAATGTGGTCTCACACATGTGCAGACAGGCACACAGACACACACACACACACACACACACACACACACACACACACACACACACACACACACACACACACACACACACACGCACACTTGTGCACACTCCTGTCTTGGCTCTGCACTCTCCCTGGGTGGTCTGTGCTGCAAATGTTTATGATCTAAACCAAGCTAATCCAACTGGCTTGTTTCAGTGAATTGAGAATGATTTATAAGATGCAGCAACAGAGCCAAGGAGGGGAGAAAATCAAAGATCTCAGGACTCCATATCAAGTCACTTGCATTACAAGTGCCTCTCCTTTTATAAGCTTACTTTCTCTAATCCAGTCTAAGAGTTTTTATGTTTCATTTTCCTTTTATATCGGTATCTGAAAGTCACCTCGGTTTGAATTTGAAGGAAACCACCTGGGATTGGTATATTTTATGCAGGCTTCTTTATTTTGGTTCATTTGTGATAATGATATATGACCTTCACTTTTGTAGCACTTTTCAGAATCAGAGGACTCCAAAAACACTTTACTCGACGGTGAATCCTTCATCTATTCACACACTGGTGATGATGGTATTGTAGCCAAAGCTGCTCTGGGGCACACTGACAGAGACAAGGCTGCCAGGCACGTGTACCCCCAGTCTCTTCAAGGCTGCCAAGCACAAGCACCATCGGTCTCTTCGACCACCACTTGCAGGCAAGTAGGGTGAAGTGTCTTGCCCAAGGACATAACGACTGCGACAGACTGAATGGGATGTGAACCTGCAACCTTCCAGTTACAGACCAGTCACCTTGGCCCATCTGCCTCAATAGTATTTGTGTATTTGGTTTGGCCATTTGTGATTGACAGGTGAATCTTATGATCATGTTTATTTATTCGGCAGATGCTTTTATCAAAAGCGACATACATTTTTAACCTATAGGGCATGATGTGTTCTGTCGGGGAAACCGGAGTACCCGGAGGAAACCGAAGCATGAGGAGAACGTGCAACTCCACGCAGAAAGGTCGCAAGAATGTTGTCATTTGCACAACTGGTCGCCCCAATCTGCAATAGGGTTTACGGACCCCTGATTTGAGCCTTCCTGACTTTTTAGCCACCTGAATCACTTCTGGGTTGCAGCACTGTCTTTATTCTCTGTTGCAAGTGTTGCATGACCTGGCAAGGATAACGGTCAACAGAACAATCACAATATTGTGAACAATAAAACAATATTGTGTCAGGAGAAAGGTCACTCTATTCAGTCCTTTGTCTCCTGTGTTAATGAGGTGGAGTCTTGGCTAATGTCCAACTATCTACATCTGAATGAGGGAAAGACAGAGCTCATTGTTTTTCACCCCAACAGCAGGAATGTGGATCGTTATGCTGATCTTGGCCATCTTTCTCCATACCCAAAACCAGTTGTTACCAGTTTGGGGGTGAAACTTGATGTAGGACTTAAATTTGATGCTCACATCAATTCTGTGATCCGGTCCAGTTTCTTTCACCTGAGACGCCTTGCTAAAATCAAGCCTATGCTGTCGAGAGCCCACCTGGAGCGGGTACTGCATGCCTTTGTTATTTCTCGGCTTGACTACTGCAACTCTCTCTATGCAGGGTTGTGTCAGTCAACACTGCATCGCCTACAGGTTGTGCAGAACAGCGCTGCCAGGTTCCTGACTGGGACCAGGAAACGGGACCACATCAGTCCGGTTCTGGCCTCTCTGCACTGGCTTCCGATTTGCTATTGCTCACAATTCAAAATCCTCGTCTTTGTTTATCATTTCTTCCAGGGTGGTGGTCCCCCCTATCTGGCAACTCTCCTGAACAAACATTCCCCATCACGTGCTCTGCGCTCCTCTGACCAAGGCCTGCTCGCTGTCCCTCGGTCTATGTGTCGTACCCGTGGGGACCGGGCTTTCTCAGTCCTAGCACCGTCACTCTGGAACCAGTTGCCACCCTCAGTTAGGCTGTCCCCTTCTCTGCCAGTCTTTAAGAATCACCTAAAAACACACCTCCTCCGCTTGGCGTTTCCAGAACATGTTTGATTTTGGCCCTCTTTTATGTTGAATCCATTCCACAGTTTTCATTGGTACACTCAATCCATCCACTCAATCCAAATGTGTTTCACACATTTGTCCTTTACCAGAATGTTTCATCTATCTTGTAATTTCCATTTTGTATTTTGTAATTTGTATTTTGTAATTTGAATTTCTTTTATTGTTGATTTATTCAATATATTTACATACAACTGTACATTGTTCAGCGCTTTGGGCTTCCTTACAGGGTTGCGGAAGGCGCTTTATAAATAAAGCTTTGATTGATTGATTGATTGATTGAACAATCCAGACATGACATTAAAAAAGACAAAGGTTTTAATTGTATGTGTCTACATTCATAACTATGAAGGTACACAGTAACGAACACACTGTGAAGCTCACAGTAATCAACTGGCAGCAATTAACAAGTAAGTTATTGTTAAAAAGGATTACAGTGCTGATGCTGAGTTTGTGATTTCCTACAGTTCACAGTACATTTTTGTGAGATTTCAAACTATTGTAAATTATTGTATTATTATTTAAAATAAAAAAATTAAAATGTGCACTTTTTTCCGTTTTCCTTTATAAAAACTGACTTTTATCATACAGCTTAATCTGTGATAGCTATACATTTTCCCCAATGCACTGATTCTACTGCCCTCACTTAACCCAATAATACTAAAGCCTACTGCATACTCTGCAAACAAGATGCAAAAAGATAAATCAGTTCACCTACACAATTAGCCAACAGGCTTTTGCCAAATTCGGCGTACTGGATTCAGTGTGCACTCTTCGTTCTATGGTGTTGCTCACTCAAGCTACGGTACTTTGTCTTTTTTTCCTCACTTGTTGCTTGCCTGGTTTTGAGCAAGCAGTAATGAGCAGTCAAGCTCATCTCCTGGCCAGAACAAACAAAACCAAAGCCACATTCCCCGAGCTCAATTTTCTGTTACGTCTCAGCTCTGTGGATTGAGAGTTTTCAGGCCTGAAGTTTGGAGGCTGTGTGACTTCTGGCTGCTAATATACTCACACTATTTTGGTGTCTGTGTGAAAGTAAATTCATTAAACATGCTTAAAAGTAACATGCATTCATATAATGTTTTAAACCAAAAATTTAAAGGGTGGGGGTATCATTGAATAGAAATAAGGAAAATATTGCAATTAACAGTCTTTGAATACTTATTATCACCGGTGTTGATAAATAAAGAGATCTGTATTTTCACACTTTCTTCAGATCATTACAAAGTTAGATTATATCTTAGCTCTTATTCAGAAAAAATGTTTTTAAATTTTCTCATAAATGAAATCTGTGCATGTGCTTTCCGTTTTTTTGAATAACTACACATTCATATTATTAGACAGACAGCCATAATGCTTTCATGTAATAACATTCACGTCAGCGGTAATACCCGGTATATTCTGTAGGAACAAATGTCGAGGAATCAGTTTCCTCACGGGCACATTTTACTGAACACTCCCAATGTCATCTATTGCTAGCTGTTAGCTTGGCTTACGCTGTTCTTGTACAGTGTTTCAGCAAGCTTTTTGATTTTTTTCACCAACGCTTATCATATGATAAGTTTTGCTTCCAAAAGAGCTGTCTAGCTGAGTTTGACTTTGAGCATTAATTTGAGTAGCGGCATCGTTTACGTCTGTGTACCGATAGTTAGCCAGGTGCTAACTACTCATCACAACTTGCATGCGTCTGTTTCTTCTGTCATCGAAAGGCAACTGGATTTAAGGATAGGTATGCAAATGTTAACCATTCTCGAGTTCAGGCATTTTACTCGAGTTGAAGTCACTGGCATTTATTTAATTGAACCGCATGTTGTGATGCTCTTGCCCTGTTCAACCTTATGTGAGACGATAACTTTTCCTTTCAGTGAGCTTTTTCAGTCACCGGCACGTCTCATCTTGTCCCACAGTTCTTATTGCTGCATTTCAAGCTGCGCTAATCAAGCAAGGTCATGAATCTAATCTAAACGTTAAATTCTGTTAAACTATAGGAATGTGTTTTTAGTAAAAAATAAGAAAACGTTTACTACTTTTGTCAATATATGTATTGATTCATATTTCTGTACATTTACAAATAATTACAGATTATCTTTCATATCGCGTTTAACCTCTCATTAAGGTATTAAACGTTTGCAATCTAATGTTCTAAACCTAAACATAATTAGCACACAATTAGGCAGAATTTCAAACAAAATCAACACATGCATATAATCAGTCTTTACTCATTTCAATAGATCTTTTAAACTGATTTCAAATTAGCTTCACAGCTTTGAGTAAGGAAAATAAATCTACAATATATATATATATATATATATATATATATATATATATATATATATATATATATATATATATATATATATATATATATATATATATATATCCAACAGATGAAAGATGCCTCATGCCTACCTTCTTAAATTTCTAAAGATGTCCAGCAGTGTCATGTGCTCAAAGTTGTACAAACCTTTTAAATACCTGTGTGACCTAGGTACACATATCTACTCTCTTAATTAGTCTAACAAGAAATGCTCTTAACATGTTATTATACAGACCAACCCATACAGCTTATCAAAAATATAAGAACTTAGGTGCAGACAAGTAGGTGCTCTGATTAAGGCAACAGTTACTAGATTATCTCAGAAGATTATGCCAAAAACCTGCAGTGTGGACACTTGATTGTCTGCAGGCAACCGGGAAGAAAGTTCTTGCAAGTTTGGTGCTGCATTTCTGCAACAAGATGACAATCTGATACAGCTAGTGAGCATCACAGAGCACTTGACCTTAACAGGATTGTGTCAAAAGTTTAGTTAAAGCAGCAAATAAGTGTACCTAGAAGAACATACGCTGATGTGAGGGCATCATGCATTGATTTGATTTCCAGTAGCTGTTCATTAATGTTAGTTTTGGCAGTTCATTTGATAAAAACTGTTATTATTTTCTTTTAAAGTCTGTTTCTCTCTCCAGACATCATGGAGCTTCAGGCGGTGTTGATGGCAGCTGGGGGAGGTTCTCGTATGACTGACCTAACATACAACACACCTAAACCTATGCTGCCTGTTGGCAACAAACCACTTATGTGGTATCCCTTGAACCTGCTGGAGAGAGTCGGCTTTGAAGGTGAGAACTCAAGCGTTAATTATAATAATTAACATTTTTATACCCTACATAAGCTACAACAAACCCACCTTCGACATGATTAAAAGTCAAATCCAGCAGTATAAGCATAAACACATGTGGGCCATCTAACGTTTAAACTGTATGGACTTGTATGTCGAGTTACGCTGTAATTTACCTTCTAACATCCTCTCAACAATCAGATCTCATGGCGGGAGGGCTCCGTGTAAGCTTTGTGCCCTCCATCCATGTCTCAGTGGCAGGATTTGGAAGAGTTATGGGGAGCACATTCTTGGTTTCCACATAAAATGTAAAGAGGCACAATACAGCTTGTAGGTTTATGTGACTCACTTGAGAAATCCGGAACTTAAAATAGAAAATAAAAATAAAAACTTGACATAAGGACTTGGACAGCATCTTTTATGTATTTGTCTACGCATAATTTTGTGCTTTAGCCTTATTTTCACAGATAAATACATAGACACACAGTTTAAGTCACAAGTAAGGATTAAAACAAATATAATGGTCCTTTGGTATGTGCTTGCTGTGTTGCTTTTCTAACTGCATTGTTGGTTATTTTTTAAAACACAGAAAAGGTTTATTTTTTACCTTTCTGCTCACAGTTTTATTCGCGGTTGCAAACTTCCTCAGAGCGGACGCGTCAGCAGCAAGGTAAAAAAAATAAACCTTTTCTGTGTTTTAAAAAAGAACCAACAATGTAAATATAATGCTATTCACCAGTTTCTTAACTTTAATGAGACAATGTAGTTTTTACCTTTAATCTCTGGAAATATCCATCAAAATGTTGTTGAAAATGAATAAAAGGATGTCCAGTTGTTGAAAAACATTAGCAGCTTCGTTACAAATAACCAAAAACATCAAGACTAAAGTACATGGCGTATTTGGGGGGTGCCATATTAGACGCCATGTTTCCTTTTGACCGTCTTGGGGTCTTGTGCCTGTTGATGACATCACACTAGATAATTGGCTGGACATGGTAGTATGAAACAGATTTAATAACAAAACTGCTAAACTCTTTCCCAGACATATGTGAAAGAGCAGAATTGAAAAGAGATGCAATATATTTTGGCTAAGCGATATTGCCATAGTGGGATGACATCATTGGCAGGCGTAGGACCCAGAGCAGATCCGGAAAGTGCAGCGCAAGAAAACTAGAGTCGGCATTGCATTCTCTCGATGGAATTACCTGAAGGACCCTCAAAGTCTGAGGTTGCATGCCTTCTGCTCCTCAGATAATGTTTACTGTAATGTTTATTTTTTATTTATTTATTTATTTTTACCAGCGGCAGTCATGGCGAAATGGTGTAAAACTACTCTGAAATGTATGCACTACCCTAGTGCCAGGAAACTACACACTGCCACTCAAGATCCTGGTTCTGGGTTTAGGGCCTTGCATGGACAAACACCCAATCTTACATTAATGATCTTCTTAGTCCCTACACCCCCAGCAGGTCCCTGAGGTCCGGTGACCAAAGCCTAATGGTTGTGCAGCACCAGGTAAAACAGACTAAAGGTGACAGATCATTTGCTGCTGTGGCCCCCAGACTCTGGAAACTCTACCCCCCTGAGCCTGAGATCAGTGGACCTAGTGGTCTCCTTCAAAGAGCAGCTCAAAACTCACCTGTTCAAGCTGGCTTTTACGTGACCTTCATCACCACCCTCTCCTTGTTCTGCCTGCAATCCCGCCTTTCCTGGGATCCACTAATTTCCCTCTTTCATAATCATTTTCTCATTCCCTTTCCTTGCATTTTTAATCACAGCTCCTCATTTTTGTCTTCTTCTTTTTCTTCTAATTTTTACCATATTTTAAAATAATTTTTTGAAGATTTTTTTTTGTATTTTGAGTTTTATGTTCTTGTGAAGCACCTTGTGCTTTTTAACTTGAGAGGCGCTATATAAAAGATCTTTTTCTTTCTTTCGTTAAACAAAAGTGCTAAAAAATACAGATTTAATCAAAACATCACTAACAATATTTTGGCAGATAAATTGATTTTATCTGTACCTATTTGTTGTTTACCAACAATTAAACAGAAAACTACAGTCTTTAATATGATTTCGTTATTTATTATAAAGTCATTACACATTTAGACATGCATTTCTCTTCATAAACACATCATCTCATTCATCTCACTTGTCGGGTGTGCATTCTTGTTGTCTGGATTTATAGACCAGATTTTCTTTAGGATGCAGCAGATCCACAAACCAGAGCTTATGAATGTAAACCTGCTTTTTTCCAGTCTGCTATTCTTGCCAATAAATTGGACTGTTCATTATGAAAGCTTGCCGTTTCTCATTTGTCTAAAGAAAAGTTGCTTTCTATATGTAATCCGCTTGTGTGGCCAGCAGTTTACTACGTGTTGCCTGCTAGCCAAAGCTTTGCAATTAGATTTTACTGGGCTGACACAGCTAATCTGAGCAAATGCCCAGTAGAAACTAGTTTATGTCGTCGATGCTGTCTGTTTTCTAAAAGGAGTGATCATTAAATACTTGTGACTTGTGTTTTCAGAGGTTATAGTGATAACCACTAAAGAGGTCCAGAAGATGATGAGCACGGACCCAAAAATGAAGCAGGAGGTAAAGATGAAGTTGGACGTGGTTTGCATCCAGGAGGACGGAGACATGGGTACTGCTGATGCCCTCAGATACATTCAGCAGAAAATCAAGGTGTTTTATTTATTTGTTTGTTTTTATAGACTAATTTAAAGAGCCTGTATCATGCTATACTACATCTTCCAGAGCAGCCATTGGTTTGATATATAGTATCTCATGCAAATTCAAACTTATTATTTTTGATAAAATAATTAAAATAAATGCAGCATTTAGATTTTTTCTGCCTTTTCCCTATCTTTTCAGCTCTGTAAACATTTTGTGCAAGAAAAGAGTATATTGTTGTTGTTTTTCTATATTTCTGGTTTTAGTGGCCTTAAGCAGCAACATAACATAAAGCTGTTTTAGCAAATTTAGAAAATAATTTGGTTTAAAACATTTTTTCATTCCTCACAACGTTCTAACCTAGTATAGCTACACATATGTTTTAAAGAAAAGAAAAAGTAAAGTGGTTGTCTTGCATTTGTCTAAAAACCTCCGCCATTAACACATTTCAGACCGAAAGCAAATGGACCATCCGGTTGTCGGTCTCGCCTAACCTCTACTCTTCCCATGGTCCCCCGTTCATTACACACTTGCGTATTTACACCACTGATGTGAGAGGTTCTCTGCTCAAAAGTGTCAGAAAGGAAGAAACAGCTGGCTGCTACCACTTCATATTTACGACAAACTACCAGAGTCCCAAAAAGAAAAGCTTCATTTGAAGTCACTAACAACAAAAGACATTTGGATGTAGAAAACAGTGACTGGAGTTTAGCTCTCTCTCGTTTCCTCTGGCGATGTGGGTTTTTCATTCCAGTGGACGCAGATCCAGTTAAGATACCTGAGGGAAGGGGGGAGTGTTCCGTGACCATGTTTGTGTTCAAACCTAGCTTATTCTGTAGATTTGTTATAACAATTCTGGGCTGAGGCCTCTGCTCTTCCTCCTCGATCTGCTCCCTCTTCAGCACATCCTGAGCTCCTTCAAAGGAATCTCCTACCATCTTTATGCAGATGACATCCAACTGTACATCTCCTTTAAGCCTCATGAGATGTCTAAGCTGCAGCTGTTACACACCTTCTTAGACTATCAAAACCTGGATGGCTGGGAGCTTTCTTCAGCTGAATGAAGATAAGACTGAGATCCTCATCTGTGCCCCAGACAAGCTGGTTCCCAAAGTCAGAGACTCTCTTGGTCAGCTTGCTTCCCACACCAAACCTTCTGTCAGGAATCTTGATGTGACCTTTGACCCAGCTCTCACCCTGGATTCTCATGTCAGTTCTCTAGTTCGCTCTTCCTTCTTCCATCTCAGGAACATTGCTAAGCTGAGTCCCATTCTGTCCCGCTCTGAACTTGAGACAGTTCTCCACACCTTCATCTCCTCACGCTTAGACTACTGTAACTCTCTTTTCACGTGTCTGAGCAGAACCTCCCTGAACCGTCTGCAGGAGGTTCAGAATGCCTGTGCTCGGCTTCTGACCAAGTCCCCCAAACACACCCACATCACCACACTTCTTCTCCAGCTTCACTGGCTGCCAGTCAACTTCAGGGTTCATTTCAAGATCCTGGTGCTGGTCTATAGGGCCTTACATGAACAAGCACCATCTTACATTGGTGATCTTCTTAGTCCCTACACCCCCAGCAGGTCCCTGAGGTCCAGTGATCAGAGCCTACTGGTTGTGCAGCGCACCAGGCTAAAGACCAAAGGTGACAGATCATTTGCTGCTGTGGCCCCCAGACTCTGGAACTCTCTCCCCCTCAGCCTGAGATCAGTGGACTCAGCGGTCTCCTTTAAAAAGCAGCTGAAACTCACTTGTGTGACCTTCTTCACCACTCTCTCTTTATTCTGCTCTCCCCACCTACTCCACCTTCCTCAGGCTCCACTGATTTCCCTCTTTCCTATTCACTCTCTCTCTTAACATTTTTTAATCACAATTTTCCATATTTTTGCTCATTTTAAATATATTTTTAATCATTTTCTAAATTCTTTTTTATATTTTTTACATTTTTTGTTTTTGTGAAGCGCCTCGTGATTTTTATTTCAACAGGTGCTATAGAAATGATATTTTCTTCTTCTTCATCTAACAGCTTTAACTTTCCTGAATAGCCTATCACCTGCTCCTGGTACTTGCATAATGTTTGTTCTAAAGCTAGAGTTGTATTTTGTCTCCTCTGAGCTACTGTAGTACCATGATGGTGCCCTTTGGTGTGTTTCAATTGGTCATGGTTCAGTAACCTAAAAATAAACTATTAGTTTCACCGACTACAAAACAAATGTATTATATCCAAATAAGTGTTTCACACTGGAATTTAAAGTGCTTTTATTCTTGCATGGCAGCATGTCTCCACAGATTCTTGTCGTTGTTGCCAAAGGTTTCTTTCATAGATTCTTGGGTATAAACATATACACACACTTAAACAAGACTAGCTCCTGCATGCTCCCATTGAGAATCGTTTGGAGTTTAATCCTTCAAGCAGCTCACTAGATTAGAAGCATTGAGTTACACACACTCACACACTGGAGGGTGACGAGTGAAGAACTGTACCCATGGCCTGCCAAACGCAAGCAGAGAGATCATTTCATCTGTCAAACCAATGCATCAGCCCAGTGTGGACACACTGACACACCTACTTGTGTCTTTTTGCAAACACCATTCCATCAGGGGATTTGGTGCAAGCTACCAAACAAAATACTTAAGGAATCCGTTTTACCGTTTGAATGAGCGTGGCACATCATTTCTCTTGACTACTGAAAACAGGGATTACTAGAAGCATATTTTATATTGTTCACTCTTCAAGCAGTGAAGCTACACAAAGGTGGACGGATATGCTGATTAATGCTTAGATCTTTCATAGAAAGCCAAACTAGTGAAAGGAGTACTCTAATACACGTTTTTTGCTTTGTATGCTTAAAGCTTCATTCAGGGTTAATTATCAGGCGAAATGAGTGAGCCAAAAGAATGAAGTGTACATTGGAAGCTCTGATTCAAAGGCTCACCTTTGGTTCACCAATGTTAGTCAAGACTCAAAAGAAAAGGTGAAGAAAGAGAGGTTTTGAGAAACACAACTGAGGCTTTTGTGAGAGAAAGACGAGAAAAAATACACAGTTCTGTCTTTTGTTTATATATTTTCCTGTATTAACATGCTTACCCCACACAAAAAGCCAGATAGAAATATATTCAAATGGAGACACTGGAACAAAAATATTTGGTTGCGCAGTTACCATTTTATTGCTGCAAATATTTGTTATGTAATGTTTTAATCTACATTTTAGTCTGACCCCAACTTTCGACTGGATGTGAAAGTGACATGTAATACATTGGCAGCGTTTTACCCATGAGCTTCCTTCCAACCGGGAGCGATTCTGCTGCAAAATGGGAGTGTAAGTCCACACCGCTGGACTTGCAACGTCGCAAAATCACAAACACCGGCGTGAATTAAGAAATCCACACAATAACAAGCAAGGAGAAAGACGGCAGCATGTAACCAAAAAGAGTCTGTGATTTATTTTCTGTTCTGTTTACATTGGCTATGGGGTTTCACCAGAAATGACAAACGTTTATATGTATGTGACTTTTATTTTGAAAATTTCCAGATGTTTTACACTGCTTACATAAAATAGACTTATGTTATTATTATTATTATTCTAAGAGTCTCGTAAAAAATAGACTTGAAACATAATGATAGCTTCCCTTTGCTTCTGGGACGCGTCCAAAACGCTATGCTTTCACTTTCGGTGGAAAGCCGGGGTTTGGCATTACAGAAGTAGACATTGTAACCTCATGCCAAGTCTTGACGTGTCAATGTTACTCTGACACCCCTAGTGGCTGGCTGCTGTACAGGTTTTGGTGTTGTTTTCTCCATACATCAGTAAAAATACCCTTATAGTATACAATAATGTAATATATTTGATGACTGACATAGTTATCTTGCTGCTGAATGCTGAAATGTCAATGCATTTAATACCTTTAGCTGTATTTAGTAATGTGACGTCATGATTGTGTGTGTGTCTACAGTGATGTTTAGCCACATGTATAAATTGTGCAGGTTTTGACGCCAAAAACACAACATGAAAGTAAGTGTATGATATTTGAGCTTTACTTTTTAACTCATTCACTGCCCACCGTTTTTGATTAGAAAGACCGACTACCAGCATTTTTGAGCTTTGTTACAGTTTTTTGAAGAGTCACAGAATATTGTGCTCTATGACCATGTGAACAGCAAAATTATTAAAAGAAAGGGTAGACTCACTTCTTACATTGGGAAGAATCGGCGTGTTCCTAGCCTTTTCTGTACTTTCACAATCTGTTGTCGAAGTGTGAGCTGCAGAAGCTTTTCCAGTTTGCGCCTCGCTTTTTTCCTAGCGGCGTCCCAAACGATTTCCTAATTCATGGATTGTCCTGATCCTTTGACGTGACACACACGGATAAAGATCAACTTTAGAGCCGTGATGTTTACTCTCAAGGTGCACAAGGTCGTTCCCAAGCCCGCCCCGTTTAAAAAAACACAACTGATGACTTAAGTCATCAACGGCAGTGAGCGGTCGTATTTAAAATGACGACTTTAGTCATCAACGGCAGTGAATGAGTTAACAATGGAGGTAGTTGGAAATGCTTTGTTTGGATTTTTTATGTAAGGTGGTTACAATCTAAATTAGTTTACAAATGGAACAAAAATAATTAAAAGCAGGAGAAAACAGTCCAAGCTTAAACAATTTTTTGATGTTGTTACTTATTTATAACTTTAATAATCGTTCAGTTTGTACTCTAATACACATAAATCATGTTTGTTTTGAAGTTTTTAGATAACATGTATCATATTTTACTTAATTATTAAAATTAGGAATGTCCCGATACAACTTTTTTATTTCCATTACAATACCGATATTGCAGCCGTCATTATTGACTGTTACCGATATCAATCCTATACGATATTGGCACCAGTCATGCATACTTTTACCTATTTCGTAGTGTGGAATGTATGAAAGGCTTGATCGTGACAAACATGGAACAAAATCTAGCAAAACTAAGTATGAAAATAAAATAAATTTCTTTATAAACCATTGGTTGCATGAATT